CACCAGACCTGAGGGCAGGAGACTGGGGAGGTGGGGCACCAGACCTGAGGGCAGGAGACGCAGACCCGGAGAGGGGAGGAGGGGCTCCCCCTCCCTTGCCTGCCACACATCGAGTTTGCCTGCGTCGAGTTTGGCCAGTCTGTAAGGGTCAGGAATAGAGCGGGAGACAGCAGGGCCACCTCCTTCAGGAGGCCCCCACTGCTCCATCTCTGCACTGGGTGGCCCAGGAGAGACTGGCAGCCCAGAGGGCACAGCGCGCACGCCCCCACCCGCATCTGCTTTGCAGCCTCACTGGCCAGGAAGGTGGACACCTCATACCTCAGTCTCCCAATTACGCCCTCCTCCTCCCCCTCCTCCTCCCTCTTTTTTCTCCTCCTCCTCCTCCCCTTTCTCTTCTCCTCGCCCCCCTGAAAACCTGTGGCTCGGAGAGACCTTGGCTTCTCTGGGACTCTACCCCTGGGGACTTCCCACATCTGCTCCTGAGCTTGGGGGCAGGGGGGCAACCGCCTGAGGAACCTCTCCAGCGATGGGAGCCGCCCGCCTGCTGCCCAACCTCACTCTGTAAGTGTGCTACCTCTCCCACTGGAGTTTTGTTGCCATTTCCAGCCTCAGGGCAGCCCTCCTCTTCCCGGGACTCCCACGCGTGCGTGTGCGGGGCTGGCAGGGCGGGGGCGGGGGCCTGGGTGCACCCTAGGCTTGTGGCTGGCACCCACACCTGGGCTTACCTCCTGTCCCCGCACAGGTGCTTACAGCTGCTGATTCTCTGCTGTCAAACTCAGGTAGGCAGGCGTTCCCACCGGCTTTCCCCCAGTTTTCCCACCCCACCTAACCAGGGCGGGTTTAGGCTCCTTTCAGGTGGACAGAGGCAGAGTCTGGCCTCTCCCTGGGTCCAGGAGGCACTGAGGTTTGGAGGGGAGTGAGCCTTTGATGGGGAGGGCAAGGAAGGGGGCTGACTGAGGTTTTATCTCTGTCCTCCCTCTGAGGACCCTCCCCACTTCCCCTGGGTCTCTGCTCCTCTCCCTCCCTCTCCACCGGGTTCCCCCAGAAGGCTAAGTGCGTGGGCACTCCGGACTTGAGGGATGGAGCCTGGAGCGGTTGGAAGCGGGTGGAGGTGATGGCTCAGGTGAGGCTTGGGTTTGCCAGTACCTGAAAGGACAGGTTTTGATGCAAAACCACTCATATGTCCCTCTCGCCACCCCACTCCCATCAGTACGGATGCCCAGGGTGGGGTTCTCGTGAGCATGTCCGGAATGCCCGGCCAGGGTGAGGTGACTCCTCACCTGGAGGGCACAGAGGTCAAGCCCAAAGAGGTTTGTTGGGGACAGGATGCAGGGTTTGCTTCTCCACACTTCCCCCACCCCAAGTCGGCCCCCCACCTCCCTCCATGCACACCTCCCACCCCCAAGTCTCAGCCCCCAGTGCGAGGCTTGCTCCCTTTTTTGTGATCCTCCATAAAAGTGCAGCTATTAAAATGCACTGGTCCAGAACCGCTCTGGGGCGAGATCGCTTGGCTTTCCCAGGCCAGAGGCCCGCTTCTCTTCATATCCAGTGGGGACTTTTTTTGAAGGTAAATGCCTTTTCTCTGGGAGAGGGAAAGGGGCAGCCTTTGAAGCAGTGGGGGGGTGGGAGAGGGAGAGACAACTCCCCCCCCCTTCCTTCCCCCTTTTGCTCCAGCCCCGTTCCAGGCCTTTTGCTTCACACATCCAGGGGGAGCCAGAAGAAAGCCCCCAGCCTGGCTGGGAGGGGGCTGGGGGTGGGCCCAACCTGTTCTGGAGGGGAACTAACACAATGGTGCGGCTGGCCGGGCGTTTATGGCCTGGCTGAGGCCCCATTCAGGACTCAGGGAAGGTGGCAAAGCGGTCCTTTCCCCCTTGAAGTGCCCCCTCACCCCCCTGGGAGGGGGGGCCAGCAGGCCGGACCACAGCCATGCTTGAGGGGCTGTCTGACAAGCAGCTGTCTGCAGTGGTGGAAGGGGAGGTCCTCCCGCAGCGGGAACATGAAAGGGACAGGCTAGGTCCCGCGGGGAGAGGGACTTGTGGGTTGTGGGCTGTGGGGGGGCGTGGGGCTGCCTTTGTGAAAGGCTTGAAGGGGACAAGGAAAGGAGGGGGCTTCGGGGGGGCGCTCTCTGCTCCTGACCTGGAACAGACTGCCAGAGGAGGCCGTCGGCCAAGAGGGGCGGAGGGCCTGAACCTGGGCCAGGAGGCGGGACTGGGACAGGCAGGACCTCACCCCCTGGAAGGGAGGCCAGGGAGGGGCAGGCTGGGCAGGTCCCCCACCCCAAATGCTCCAGGGTGGGGCAAGGGGCAGGTCTTGCAGAGGCTGAGCAGAGGCTGCTCTATGGGGAGCTGCAATTGGAAATGAGCAATGGTGCACAGGAAGTGTGAACCCTGCGCAGGTTAAACGTCTAGCTCTGAGAGCTGCTCCCTCATTCCCCCTGTCTCAAGGTGATATTTCCCATCCCCTCCCTAGGAGAGAGTAGCCCCTAACAGATGCTGATCTGGGTCTAGCTCTGTCCAGATGGCTGAGGTTGGGCCTGGGATAAAGGTGGAATTAGGGATTTGGGGCAGGGGATAGGAAAAGCTGTCCCAGCACAGGCAGCAGCATCCAGGTAGAGAGAGAAGCAACAGAAAAGGTGCATTCTCCTGCCGGAGCTGAGGCTGCTGCCAGCAGCCAGGAAACCTAGCCCGGGTCGCACCTTGCAGGATGGAGAGGAGGAAGTACTCTGAGTCTCTCCCACTTAGCCTTACAGACGGTTAAGGAGAGACCTAGCTGGGAGGCGGTACTCCTCCTGGCTTTGCACAGTGTGTGGGGGGAAATGGTTCCTCTCCCCCAACCCAAAGGGGAAGCAGGTGGGCGGGCGCATCCCACCAACTGGCCGGGAGCCTCTGTTACATTGTGGCTAAGGAGCCGCCTGGCAAGGGCAGCCACTGGGCCACTGCTGATAGTGCCTGTCCTCTTGGTGCTGCCTCTGCCTCCCTCTGCTAAGGAGGCACTTTGCCTGCCTGTTCTCCCATAGTGCCCAGCCCCAGCTCCAGCCCATAGAGGAGGGAGGAACGCTGGAAGGGCCCTGAGCACCAGGGGGCGAGGCCAGGGAGAAGATGGGTATGAGCTCAGGATTCCATGGTTAGTGCTTCGAAGAAATGCTCACGGGACCCTGTAGGAGCTTTCAGAGTCCCCCACATGCTCTCTGGTGACCCCAATTCACAGCACCATCTGCTCTGTGCCCCTGTGTGCTGGGCACAGGGTCTTTCAAGGCCAGTGGAGAGGATGAGGAAGGAATCTGGTTGTCCTGGCTAATGGAGCATGTCCCTGGAGTTCTGGGGGAGATGACAGGCTCTGGTCTAAGAGGCGGGGACAGCGGTTCTGTCCCTAATGAGCTGTGTGCCCCGTGCCCCTCCTTCATAGAATATGAGGATGGGATAGAACCCCGAGGGCTCCTTCCAGCTCCCAGAATCCTGATTCCAGGGCTGTGTTCTGTCAATAAGTGTCCCCCAGCCTGGGCAGACCCCAGTCCCTTCTGTAAGGTAGACGCAAAGCCAAGAAGTTATGACCGGCTCACCCAGGAGCCTGGGAAGGTTATGGCCACATGCCCACTTCACTCTGCAGGACAACTGGCCTGTCCCCAATACATTCACCTCCTCACCCCTCTCCCTTGGATGGACCAGTGGTGGTGTCACCCAAAGCAAATTGACACTATTTTTCCCTTGGTAACCGCAAAGGGGGAGAATCACCCGTCTCCTAATTTTAACCAGTACGTGAGGGACCAGGGCGCCATGACCGACCAGCTGAGCAGGCGGCAGATCCGCGAGTACCAGCTCTACAGCCGGACCAGCGGCAAGCACGTGCAGGTCACCGGGCGTCGCATCTCCGCCACGGCTGAGGACGGCAACAAGTTTGGTGAGAGCTGGCCCTCCCCCCAGGCCACCCACACCTCCACTCTGCCTCACCTCCGCCCTGCCTCACCTCCTGGTCCATCCCCAGATCCTGTGTCAGGGCTGAGGGCCCCAAGGGCCTGAGCGTCCCCAACCCCTTCGCCTGAGTCTGGAGGTCAGTGTGGCTGGGTGGTCCCCTGCCATAGCCATAGGCTGGCAGCCCCGATGGACGGAGGTCTTTCTCCCCTTCCCCACCACAGCCAAGCTCATAGTGGAGACGGACACATTTGGCAGCCGAGTTCGCATCAAAGGGGCTGAGAGCGAGAAGTACATCTGTATGAACAAGAGGGGCAAGCTCATCGGGAAGGTGAGGCTGGGAGACTGGAAACAGTAACAGAGTCAGCCCTACTGGGGTGGGGACATATAAGGCATCAAGCTCCCCTCTCTCCTCTGAGCCACACCCTCCTGTGTAAAGACTTCCCATCCTACTCTCAGCCCGCCCACCCTCTCTGGTTTCTTTATTTTATTTTAGAGTCCGGGTCTTGCTCTGCTACCTAGGCTGGAGTGCAGTGGCACAATCATAGCCCACTGCAGCTTCAAACTCCTGGGCTCAAGCAATCCTCTCGCCTCAGCCTCCGAAGTAGTAGCTGGCACATGCCCAGCTAATTTTTTTTTTTTTTTTTTTTTTTTTTTTGGTAGAGATAGGGCCTCACTATGTTGCCCTGGCTGGTCTCAAACTCATGGGCTGAAGCGATCCTCCCACCTCAACCTCCCAAAGTGCTGGGATTACGGGCGTGAGCCACTGAGCCTGGTCTAGTTTCTCTATTTAAATGAGTCCCCGGGACTCTATTAGCCCTCTGAGGGGACTGGCAAGCCATTGGGATCTGTGGGGCTGATGTCAGGAGTATTTCTCCAGCAGGCATCAGTAGGAGTTTGGCATCTACCTGACACTGCAGCCTCTGGGTGGAGGACTAAAGGCTGTTGAGGGTGGAAAGTGGGGCACAGATGTAAGACAGGAACTCCCCCAAGTTCAGTGGGGCCAGTGGGCTCCAGCTAGCAAGACAGACACTAAGCAGCTGCTCCTGTAACTGAAGCGCACAGTGGGCCCAGTCCTGCTGGGTGGGAGAATTCCACTTGGTTTGAAACCAGGCAATCCCATCTTCCCATTCGGCTGTTGCTGACCAAATGACCTCTGGTTTGCTTATCTTTGTCAAGTCTCAGGCTTCTTGTCTGTAGAAATGGGCACAGACCCCTGACTGCTGACAGGGTGGGATGGGTGGCCACGCTGGCACCCTTCTTTCTTCTCATCGGAGGGTGCTGCCTCCTCTCCCATGCTCAGCAGCACCACTCACCTAGGCTCCATGAGCATTTCAGTGCTAAGGGCCCGGGCATGCTGGGAACTGCTGCAGGACCTTGATCTTCACCTGCATCTCAGAAAGCTGAGGCCCAGCCTAGTACAGGACGGCTAAATGACAAGCCTGCAACTCAGATCCACAAAGCCTGTTCGCGTTGGCCACGGTTGCCTCTCTACCTAGGATGCCATCTCACCAGGCAGAGTTCCCTGGGTTCACGGCCCTGTTGTTCCCGTTGTCCCTCCTCAGTCGTCCAAAATAGGCCCTAAGGGCAACACCCCAGACCAGGGTAGGTGGCCAAATGCCCTTCCTGTCCTTGCTTCTCCCGCAGCCCAGCGGGAAGAGCAAAGACTGCGTGTTCACGGAGATCGTGCTGGAGAACAACTACACGGCCTTCCAGAACGCCCGGCACGAGGGCTGGTTCATGGCCTTCACGAGGCAGGGGCGGCCCCGCCAGGCTTCCCGCAGCCGCCAGAACCAGCGCGAGGCCCACTTCATCAAGCGCCTCTACCAGGGCCAGCTGCCCTTCCCTAACCATGCCGAGAAGCAGAAGCAGTTCGAGTTTGTGGGCTCCGCCCCCACCCGCCGGACCAAGCGCACGCGGCGGCCCCAGCCCCTCACGTAGTCTGGGAGGCAGGGGGCAGCAGCCCCTGGGCGCCTCCCCACCCCCCTCCCTTCTTAATCCAAGGACTGGGCTGGGGTGGCTGGAGGGGAGCCAGATCCCCCAGGAAGGACCCTGAGGGCCGCCAAACATCCGAGCCCCTAGCTGGGAAGGGGCAGGCCAGTGCCCCAGGGGCGGCTGGTAGAGCACCCCCTTCCCGGACGGGTGGCAGGCCCTGGAGAGGAACTGAGTGTCACCCTGATCTCAGGCTGCCAGCCTCTGCCGGCCTCCCAGCCGGGCTCCTGAAGCCCGCTGAAAGGTCAGCGACTGGAGGCCTTGCCGACAACTGTCTGGAGGTGGCTGTCCTCAAAATCTGTTCCACGGATCTCCCTCAGTCTGCCCCCAGCCCCCAAACTCCTCCTGGCCAGACTGTAGGAAGGGACTTTTGTTTGTTTGTTTGTTTCAGGAAAACAGAGGGACAGAGAGAGAGAGGAAAATAGAGGGTTGGCCACTCCTCACATTCCACGACCCAGGCCTGCACCCCACCCCCAACTCCCAGCCCCGGAATAAAACCATTTTCCTGCAAATAGGTTATCTGAAGCGGGGTGGGGGATCCGACCACCAAGTACCCCTGGAAACGAGCCTGCCCTTCCCCGGCCG